AAAATATGAAGTTTTGGGAAAAGTTTGAATTCAAAATCCTTTTTTGATTTAAAATTAACTGTTGTTTAATAAACATAAAAATGGGGCCCAGTATCCCACTGCCTGATCATTTTTCATTAAAATGTTTCCCCACCCAGGTTTTTTGGTCAAATAGTTCTGGAGAAAAGTTGCGCGCAAGATGTGAAAGTGGAAATGTCCCACAAGCAAAAACTCTTCAAATCTAAACAATTTTCAATGACTCTATGGGTCTATCTGATGTTTTATAAATTATCAGAAAGTTGAACTAATAAAGGGAAACCTCAATTGGGCCAAATTAAGTCATTTTTACATATTTTTGAACATAAGTTATAACGGGTTAAATTTTAACGTTCAATGGGTATTTCCTACCTTCAAAAAAATATCATCTTTGAAAAGAAATGTCACCAAATAAACCACCAAAAAATTAAAAATTGTTAAATTAGTTAAAACCCTGATACTTTTGGTTACTAATTAAGAGTAAAAACCATTTCATAGTCAAAAGGGTAACATAAATACAGTGCAATCCTGGAGTCAAACAGTTGACAAGTTGAAACCAATGTTGGACCGAGGCTTCAATCTTCAAAGATCTGATCACCGTTTCAAAAAGGTTTGGAGATGTAAGGGTACATTGTATTTTCACTGAATACAAATAATAATTAGATGGTTGTTATTATTGAGCTTTAACCAAAATTTATATGGCAAAGGAATGTACAATGTGTTTGTTGGTAATTTTAAACTAAACACATATAAGCTTATCAGTTACACCAATACTGTTTTAAATTCTATCCATGAAAATTTCTTCCAAAATTTTCTATACATTTGGGTGACAGCTCAATAATAACAATCCCAATATGGTTTTAGATAAAACGAAATACAATGTATCATTACATCCCCAAAGCTTTGGAAAACGTAATTCAGATCCTTAAACAAAGAAGTTACGATCTTTGACATTGGTTTCAACGTATGAAACTGTGACAGGAGGAAACACTTTGCCACAGGACTGCACTGTATGTCCTGATATCCTAATAATATTATATGTTTTTCGGTGCTTAAAGTATACTCAGTATAAACTGACTATTTCATAATTATTTTATCTTTTGAAACAGTCACATACACACAACAAAAAAATAAAACTACCTTCTTAGAGAAAAAGAAGTACTGCGGCAACTTTTTTAGCTTTCCTTTTTTGCAGCTTTGCTAACTAATGATCACTCTAGCAAAACTCCTGGGTTTAAATAATGTTAAATAACCTACTGCTGCTTATTACCCATAAATTGATTTTACAGAATGTAAATTACTAAAGGGAATGGCTTGGCTTGGCTATCAGGTACTCACCACTTATCCGTCTAGTCCTGATTCATCTCACAGCAAGCTCGCAGTCCATCGGCTAGTAACTTCAAATCCTCATGATCCTAAAAACAGTTTCAGATATAATTTAATAAGCAAGACAACGTATTAGGAAAAAAAAGGGCACTGTAGGAAATTATTTGAACATAAATATGATGCCATTGGAGGAAAAGATTTGGGAAAGGGGAGGGTTTTGAAAGTATAACAGCAATGAGACAAGATACATACCTTTGGAATCCGATGTAGTGCATTAAGTTGGGTCCACTGAGTAATCCAGCAACTTTCGCTTCACTAATTTTCTTGCAATGCCTTCAAAGGGCATCCCACTCAAAATGTTGAATATATTCTTGACCATTGCAGAATCAAAACAGCACTAATTGATAGTCAACAGTAATTATGTTACACTGCCCAAGCAAAAAGTTAGGTTAAACTTTTGATTCTGTGAACTGACACCGTTCCATCTTTTCAATCACTTTGCTAATAG